ACCACTTGGCGATTGAAGCGTCAAAATATGGGATGACGTTTCTCCATCCAAGTGCAAACCACTTTTCCAAGACTTTCAGATGCCTGTACCTGCACTCACCCTTGGTGGTGAGACACTGGAGGTTACGGAGTGTTTTGCCTACCTGGGTAGTTGCATCACAGCCAATGGAGTTATTGGAGACCAAATTTCGTTGCGTATCTCAAGAGCTCACCTCGCTTTCTCTAAGCTGAAGCACTCGTGGCGCCGCCATGACATCGGTATATCCATCAAAGGACAGGTTTATAGTGCGACTGTCCGCGCTGTACTGTTTTACGGTTGCGAGGCTTGGCCTGTTCGTATCGCTGACCTGCAACATCTTTCTGTTTTGAGCACCGTTGCTTGCGGTCTACTGCCCGTGTGTGGCCGCTGCACCACGTAACCACTGTGGAAGTTAGACAGCGTGGCTTGGGTGGAGGTAGCCATTCGCTGGAGGAGCTCGTCCCGCTGCGTCAGCTGCGGTGTCTTGGACACTACTGCGTATGCCCGGTCATGGTCTTCCGTGTTGCACGTTCTTCGTGGTTGCTGGACAGGCGCGGTGGACAACCTACGACATGGAGAAACCACCCCAAAATTGTCGAGTGACGCATCACTCCTCCCCGGGTTTTCACCCAGTGTAACTAATGCATATATGCTGCTATAGGCTGTGCAATGAACAAATCTGATAGAGCCATGTTACACAATAAAATAGCAGTGGTACTCCCCTCGCGCACTCTGGGATTTGTGATACTGTTATACAGTCGCAAGTACTGTGACTATCAGTTTCTATGTATATTTGTCTACTGTGTAACCAGTCGATTGTCAGAACTGAGCGGGTACTGCTGACGTACGTCCCTACTGTGTATTCATGTTCGTTTTTATAGTCTTTTTTGAACGTTCTTATGAAGGACAAAATGGCTAGTTCCATTTCAGCAAAGCCAAAGGCATTCACATTGAAAGAAATGGTATCAGTGATTCGACGATGTTAAGAAGGAACAGTTCGCTAACATTGGCGCAAAATTTCAGAGTAGGAAGAACATAAATGCATGTAACATAAAAGAGGAAAACCGTTTTTGAGTGACTTTGTGAACCACACACCAAGACTGAAAAGAAAGAATCATGGAAAAATGGGTAACTAAGATATGGACGCACCATGTTGGATATAGTGCCAGCCAGCACTGACGAGAAAATCCCATTACCTGCACACGTGATTCAAGAACGAGCATTATACTTCGCAAAAGAATTGTAAAACAGACTTTACCTCGTCAAACAGTTGGCTACAAGCTTTCATCAGTAGACGATTTTGTGTTTGGTAAGCAATCGGGCGAAAGCGGTGACTCAGATATGTGTGCAGCATCCGACTAGGCAGAAAAATTGCCCGATATATGTTCCGGTTACACGGCTCAAGACATTTTTAATTCACATGAAACTGATTTGCTATTCGAAACGATGTTGGATAAAGGCATTGTGTAAAAGGATAGAAATGCGCAGGTGGGAAAAGAATCAAGGCGCGTATCACAGTTATTCTGTGCACTACCACATTTGGGGAGCGAGAACCGGGTGCAGTGATTTGGAAATCAGCCAACATTCGAAGTGTAGAAATATCAACATGAGAAACTACCGTCAGTTTACAAAGATAATAAAAAGGCATGGATGAGTGCAGCTATTTCCGAAGAGTTAACAGCAAATTACAGGAAAACGCAACATCATACCTGCTCTCGACAAAGCCATTGCCCTCCCTAATTTCACTTACTTAATAGCAAATTACAGTTCTTGTCACCTAACACCACTGTGTTACGTCAACCCTACGACCAGGACATCATTCAGGTGCTCAAATCGAAGTTTCCGAAAGAGCATCTTCGCAGTCTTATGACAATGATGGGATCCCACAAAGATATGTTCGGAACTGAGTTCATGAAAGGAGTATAGTTATTAGACGTCGCGTGCTACATAACTTCTACCTGGAAGGAGGTGAAGAACTCAAGCATCTCTCTTTTTCGATCACACCCTGCGTAACCAGCTTGTTTAATTCCTCGGAAAATCGGTCACGTAGCGCAAATTGGACTCTCGTAGCAGGTAGCGCAATCGGGCGTACCAAGGTATCTAACAACAAGTGATCGGAACCTTTAAATTCTCCTAAACCCGGGCTAAACACAGACGGGTACAGGTCACTAACATCGGCTTTACTCTGACAAGCGTACACAAAACGATCATGGTTAAAAATGATAAAGCCAAGAGATAAATTCGAATCAATGCCGAGAATCGGCGTGAAATCCTCGTCCACGGTCACGAACTGCAGACGATGAGAAATACCGTCTCTCGGATTGACCACTTCAATTGTCGCTGAGCCCTCTGGCTTGAGTCTGGAACCATTCCACATGCGCAAATAATCTTGATCCGATTGAATTTGCACGCCGCGGCAGTGCTTTCTGGGCAAAATATTGATCGTCGCGCCTGTGTCTAACTGGAATCGCACAGACCTTCCCTCGATCAGAAGACTTGCATAGACACACTTCTGCGACGCTTTCCGAGACACGTTACCAATCGGTTGTTCTGTGTCTTCTGTTGATTAGTCTAGAATGAGTGCACTGACATCTGTCGACTGACAGCAGCGGGCGAAGTGATTGCGCTTCCCACATTTGACACAAACGCAGCCCCACGCCGGACACTGTTCGCGGTTCCTCGGATATCGTG